ATTCTAGTACAAATTCACTCACCCTTATGCATGCCACTAGCAGCACCAAGCTGGTGTTCTGCCAAATCTCTTTTGGGTTTTCCCTCTCCATAAGTAGGTTTTAAACCAGCAGTCTTGTGGTGCAGGACCATATCTGGCAATGAACAGGATCAGCAGCAGCTTGTTCAAAGTGGAAACAGAGCATCTGGTCCTCAGGAGAGTTCAGTAAAACTCTCTGAAACTGGTACTCTATAAATGCCAACCAGATACTGGAATTTCTTGTATTTTTGCTAAAAAGTCTCATGCAATTGAAAACGAAGCAAGACCTAAAAACAAATTTACATGTTCACAGCACTAGCGGAAAACCTTTTTGATGCCCTCTCCAAGGATGGTCCAAATTTTGGCAAAGAATTGCCAGATCTCAGCCATTGCAGTTCATCTTGTGTCTCATGTTTCTCTTTCTCTCTGTGTGAAGCAGAGCACTAGTTGAACCGTCTGTGTTCACACAGCCATGTGACTGCAGCAGTGCTTCATATGCTAGACACATGAACGCTCAAAACACTACAGAGGGAATAAAAGGCATCCCTGTAAGCAAGAAGAATTAAAAATTCAGGCTAGGGTGCACGATCTTTGAGGAAGACCTCCAGCATCTCATTTGCAATGTGTGCCATGTGATGTGCAGTCTGGAACCACACAATAAGGGAATTTATTAAAAATAAATAAAATAGGTTGGCCAGTGACAGCATAATTTGCTCTGTGCAAGCTGAGATTTTCAAGTGATAAGTCTCAGTTATGAATAGGAGAGTTTTAAGATAATTCTGTGGTTTCAGGAAGAAACATCATCAGATCTTGCCACTTTTCTCCTTTCTGCCTCTACATCTCTTGGCATTTACAATAAGGTAAAGAAGCTTAACAAAACACAGTGAATAACAAGTATAACAAGTATAACGAAATCCCTGCACATGCGAAAGGGTGTGTTCTTTGAAAGATGCTCTCTAGATAATTAGCAAAATGGCCCAAACTCCTATATAGAAATTTTGCCATAATATTCTGCATCATGAACAAAAATGAGAGAGGAAATGGAGAAGACCTGATTCAGAAGACCTGAATCCCCTTGAAGCCTGCATATCAAAAAACTATTTGTTCAATATTTTCTTCCATTGTGAACACGACCACAAAAGAAAACAGGTTTGTCCATGCATTACTTAATGTTCAGCGTTTGGGCCACAGAGGGAAATCCAGAGCCCAGTGGGAGGTGGGTAAGTTGAGACTAGAGGTTGTAGTTTGGAAACAGAAGAGGGCATCACATTGAGTGGTTAACCCACTCCAGGCCATCACCACTGTGTATTGGAGCTGGCTAACCCTGTCTCCTAGCCCCATCCCAGGTATGTGCACATGGAGCTAAAGGCAACGCACACAGGGACTAAAACCTGCAGTCCCTCTGGAAAGCTGGTGGCCATACCCTTCCTTTATGGAAACCTGGGTATGGGCTCGCCCTCCTGAGCATGGCCAGGGGGGATAATGATGGAGCAACAGCTTCCATCCTAGTTCATGTACCTGTAACTTGCTTGCCTCCATCGCAAGGTCTGGGGTGGGATTGCACTGCCATGGGAGAGTTTCCAGTGCCCATCTCCCACCTTGGCCCTATTAGTGAAGTGCAGAAAAGGAGGAAAGTGTTTTCCATCAAGCAGAGGCAGTTTGAAACTCAGTCTCAGGTATAGAGACCAGAATTCCCCCTCTCCTTTAGCTAGATGCTTGATTATCAGACTAAAGAGACCTGTTCCCACTTGTGCTGCCTCTCTTTGGTCGGATGAATCTCGAATCAATCTTATCCTTTTTCCTATTTCTTTTTTCTATTATTTTCTTTTTACCCTGACAGAAGGCAAAGAGCAGCCTAGCAGATGCAGTTCTTCCATTTAGCTTCCTCCCATTTGCAGGGAGTTTTTGTTCTCTCACAGGGTGCTTTTTGCCCTACGGAGGAAGATGAGCTCTTCCAAAAGAAATATAATTCCTCCTACATGCCTTTGAACAGACCTGTTTGTTTGTTTTTCCCTATCTCGAGTGTTAGCCCCTGGGAGATGCCAAGAATCCAGGTCCCTGGCTGAAGTCAGGACTGGGTCCCAAATCTCCTGCCCCACGGGCTGCCTACCCCATAGCTCAATTGACCATTGCCGCTTGTGAGCCAGCAGGGACAGTTTCTGCGTAAGGATGAACTGGCTTTGAACAGTTTCCCCAGTGTCCTGGGCACAACGCTCCTTTTCTTCCTCATCAGGACTTTACGTCTGCTCTGCTGGCTTCCCAACTTTTTTTTTTTTTCCTTTTAAACAAATAGAGGTATTGTTGTTTATGCAGGGAAAATTCCAATTTCTCTTAAAGGGGCTTTGCCAGGATCTAAAAGCTCGGGATACACCTTTTCCAGAGGCAGCACCTTCCAGAATTCACACATTCTTCCTTCTCTCTTTCATACACATGAACAATTTTCATTACACATTTTTAAGCAATCTCTAAAATCCCCAGCTAGATCCCAGTGCCGTGATTGAGTCCCAGTCCCATGACTTATGCTTGCAAGGAAAGGAGATTCCTGCCAGTGAGGAGCAGTGAGGCCAGTCCCTGCGCAGTGCTCCCTGTTTCTCTGCCTACTCCAGCCTTAAACAGCTCAGGAATAGGGGATTTGTCATTTCCCTTAGAGAAGCCTTGTGCAAACCTTACCCATACTCAGAGAAATGCTGTTTGGTTTTATGGTGTCTGCTGCTAAGTCCCAAACACCACACTTCTCCAGTGGATCAGTACTACTAGTTCTCAGTGCTGGTGTTGCTATCACTTCCATGTTATCAAGCCTTGAAGACGCAGTCCAAAATGACCCTTGTTAGTGATAAGCCCAGAGCTTGGGCAATTCTGTCCATAATTGTGTGACTACCCAGGTCAGCCATGTGCAACGACTCATTCAAAAAAGAAAACTCCATCAGTGGAGACCACAGAGGTCCATATATGCTCCATCTGCCCTTCCTAAATGAGTGAACGTTTCCACTATTTGAAGTAAGAAGATGTTTACCAGATCACTGGTGGTGCTGCCAGCTCTGCAGAGCACAGCAACCAGAAGAGCCAGCGCAAGACAGCCTCGCAGGGCAGAGCTTTCCACTGCAGCGTGATTGGGCCCTAGATATTCATATTTTATTGCATCCATTTTTCTCCAAGAAATATTAAAATGCTCTCACTATTTGAAGGGAGGGGGGACTAAAACACACAAGCTGCCTAGCTATCCCCAAGCAACCTATCAAACAAAGCAATAAACTATTAGCAGGCAGAACGGTTTTAAAAGGACCTACAGCATTTTCAGGCCATCAGGGGAAGAATAAGAATAGAAATGATTCTGAAAATTATTAGTAATGCCTTAACAGCTGCCTGTTAATATCTCCCACAGTATTCTCAGTCATTTGCACAACCGAGCTGCTGCTCCATGCCAATTACTGTCCCTGTTTCCCTCCGCTTGTGGCGGATGTGCAGAGGATGCAGCTGAAATGAGAATTTACTGAGATTCTGCTGCTCTTGCAAGTCTCTGCTGCAGCAGTAGAGGCGGTGCTAGGTAGAAGGTCTCCCAGCTCTTCCCATAAGGCTCTCCAGAAATAGAGTTTAAGCATGGCTCAGATAAGGAACTGGCCACTGCAGCTGCATTTTTACGGTTTCTTCACTGCAGGGATTAACTTTTCACTAATGGGGCTGCAGGGGACCAGTGGTAGCCATTTATGTCATGCACACAACCCAGACACTCTAGGGTTTGTTCGGTTTGGGTTTTACCTCCTCTTTCACCCCGTGGTATCACAAAGTGCCTGTAGTGTGTAACTCTATAGCAATGCTTCATTACCATCAGCAGGTTTGCCTCCTTATTGATCTAATGTAACCCCTAAACTGGCCCTGCTTTAAGCAGAACGTTGCGCCAGAGGTCCCAGCCAGCCTCACTTACCTTACGTCTTGGTCCTTTGCTCATAAAGGCCCAACTCATCCCAGGATTATGGCACAGCAACAGGAACAGATGCTGACAGCAGCCAGCCACCTCCTGATATTGTTTTCACCCAGCTGCATAAGGCAAGTTTGCCATGCTGAGACAGGGAGTCCGTAAAATTTGTGCCTTGGCACCTCCTCAGTGAGTTGGAAATGTTGAAACAAACCCCTTATAGAGGGTCCTGCCCTAATCTGAGGCCTGAGATCTGACATGATGGTGGGCAATGCCAGGTACCTGCATGGGACTCCTGGTCATGAGCTGCAGATCAGGAGAAGTCTAGTGAAGGAGTCCACATAGGAGAGCTGGTTCGCCAGTTGCTCACAGAGGCCCTTGTTTTGCTTTGGTTTTAAGTCACCAGGCTAGCACAGGCTTTTTCACCCAGCCAGCCAGCCAGAGATCTGCAAACCCTAAAGCAAGGCAGGGAAAAGGGGGAACATGGCTTCTGCCTTCTCACTACAGCCCAGCAAAGACTTCCCCTGCCCCGGCTGCCACCACTTGACTTCTCTTTCCCCACAGTGCTTTTTTTGCCCACTTACAGACAACAGGGATGGGGCTGGGAATGTGAGTGGAAAGTGGGTCAAGATCCTTATTGTTCCTTGTTCCTGTGTGTGGGTGGTAAGAGAAATATGAGAGCTTCTCCTTAGAAGAGGCCTCTTTGGCCTGGCTATAAATCAGAGCAGCTTCAGCAGCACAATCCAGGAAACACCCAGAGCTCGTTGTCGTTCCCCCATCAATGTCCCCTCATCTCCTTGCCCAGCTCCAAGCTCTCTGCCCACTCCAGCTCATTCCTGCTCACCCCTGCAAGCCAGCACAAGGGGCAGGAAGGGAGGAGAGGGGAGAGGCATTGCCTTCAGCTGCTCAGTGCTCCCAGAGCTCCCTGAGGACTGTGTGTGGGTCTCCTTGCAGGGGGGGAGAATGGTTATCTCGTAAAAGATGACTTTATTGTCAAGTGGGATTTGGAGTAATTCTGCTCCAGGCTGGGATAAACCAAGCTAGAGGAAGAGACAGGGGACTATTGCAGTATTGGTCTTCTGATTAATTTTCCCATGTAGACAAGTCCAAAGTTGAAATAGCTCCAGCTTTCCTCTTGTCCCTGGAATAGGACAGTAGGGGCAGCAGGAAGATATACGTAAGGTGTCATTGTGGATACTTTGCCCTGTTCTGTCTCTGTGGGACACACAAGATTTTGGCCATGGGCGCAACAACCCCCAGTGCTATAGGGAAGTGGTGGATTCCTTTGCTGTCAAGATTGGACATGAAGCCATCATCCACTGTAGAACAGCAGTGCTGGTCAGCTCTGTTTGCAAAAATAGAGGAACAGAAAGTTGTATCCGGATTAAGTCATGGATGATAACTCTGTGAACACAGAGTTCTCCACCAAGTTACAAAACACCAGCTGAGCTGCTAGGAAAAGAGTTTTCATGTTACAGCACAGACTGTGAGCTAAACATTGCTTCTTTACTATTAAAAACCAAGGAAGGTTGCAACATGCAACCACATTTACAAAATGTGGGAGAAAGTTACATCATTGTATTGTAAATGTCCCTACTATTTTGGCTCTGGAGGCCTGCACGTCAGGAGCAAGTGCTGAGCTCTTGAGTAACCATGTGTGTCAGCATACGGAAAACATTGCTAGAGATGCAACCACATCACAAGTAGAAGTCACTTACAACTTCTTAAGTTTTTAATTGTTCTAAGTTTACTTTCTCTGTCTTCTTACCTGTAGTAGCAGGCTATGAAGTTTAGGTGGCTTTAAAGGCAGCCTCTCCTGGCTAGCACTCTCAGGGAAGATGCTTTTTGAGCTGAAGACCTTCCTTAGTTGATTATTTTCATCTGCCAAAAAACGTATGTATAAGCCAGTTGACATGATTCGCTCTTGTGCCAGACTTATCACTGTTTCAGCTGCAAACAAAATACGTAGGGGACAAAAGTTAAGACTTATGTTTCAAAATGTTCTACTGAAAGATCTGCTTCTTCATTTCTATGTTTTTGTCCCTCCACAATTTTGCCTAAAATGAGAACTGAAAACAGGACATCACATACTTTATGGATGAAATGTTTAATCTGATCAGAAGTAAATTGTGTAATTGGGGGTGGGAGAAAAGACACCAGACCAAAAAGTAGTTTTAATTCTAGTGTCTTAAACAAAGCATATTAGATCTTTACCATCCTTTCTTTTTAGTTACCTAAGAGCGCATGAAAAGATAAGGAGTTGTAGATATTTTCCTTGCTGGAGATGGGGGTTTTGTGCATGCTGTGTACAAAGCAGTTTAAGCCTTACATTTTAATATGACATGTTTATGGAAAAAAACTACTTACATCATCGTGTTTCTAGTTCTAATGCAGATTGGCTTTCATATTTATGGAAAAGACAAATAAAACCAAGTCAACGTAGCTCAACCCAATGAAAGTCCTGACAGTATATCTGTTCCTCAGCTGTATTCATCTTTTTCATTTCTCACAATACAGTATCAGTCATTGTTACAGACTCCAAGTCTGGACAAGGCCTGAATTTCTATGGAGAAAGACAAATAAACACTGATAAATCTAATTTAGGGAAGTAGTCTGTTCTTTGATTGTTTGCTTATTTAAAAGAAAACAAGCAACTGTGGAGCAATTCGCAAGAAAATTTCAACAGATGACTAGCAGAAGGATTCTAATTGTTTCTTCTTCTTAGATCTGGAGAGCACTAAATCTGCTTTTTAGCCTTGTGAATTAGGTTTGTGATTATTTTATTACTGGTTTTGTCATATTTGAAACTTAAGGTGGAATCATGAAGAAATCCGATTTTTATCCATGACTTCAATGACAATACACAAAGCACTGCCAACAGGAAAACCACCTGTATTTGGATGCAAAGACAAGGGCAGATTCACAACTGCAAACATTTTAAGTGTTTTCCAGGTTTTGGAAGTTATCATCTCAAAAAACATACCCCATTCCCGAAATGAAACACGCCGTGACCAAACACAACTACTACTTGGAAATATTTGTGAAACTGACTTCTCCTTGCTCTGCAAGATGTTGGAAGCCAGGACTGAAGATGTATAACAGCCACAGCAAACATCTTACCCTGGGCTATGCAGAGACCTCCAGACCTGATGACACATATCTATACCGAGGGAGTAAACAGTGCACATGCTAGAGTTGTGGTACAGCAGCCTCCAGGGTCCTGAGGCTGAGAACATGCTGACCTACAGCTCAGAGCACATACCCTGCCTGTGGTCATGCCTCTGTACCTAACTGCATTACTATAACACTGAAGCTTGAAACACATTTTCCTCTACACCTCACTTCTTGTGTGCACAGGGTTAACTTCCCATAAACATTCACCATCACCTTCTACCTCATCCTGTGTCCCACAGTAAGGCTTTCCTCCACTGTGTCATCTGCCGAACAGCTGGAGAAAGGTCCAGCTCCTGTTGTGTCCTGGTTGCTGCAGTGATACCATCACCTGCCATATTAGCAATGCTGACATCTCTTGTCTCCTTGATTTATCCCTCGCCATGGCTAGCATCTGTATTTAGCATGAAGCACAATGGTGTCCTAGGTTCCGCTTGGATCCCTAAGTGCAGTGGCTATGTCTAAAGGAGCAGTGGTTTGGAGAATCCTTCTGAGTTTGTGGGTCCTGACGTGAACATTACCCATGACCAAATGCAGTGAAGAGAAGGTGGTAGGTGCTAGCTATCCTTTCGTAATCTGTGGACCACCGCAGCTACAGATCATGGCTAAGCCCTCAGCTGGGACCAGTAGGAATGCTGTTGCGTTCACATGCACAGCAGCCTTGGCAGATGTAGGTACAGCTTTTGGTAAAGCAACCAAACACAGTAATTGCAGAAAAGTGTATCAGTTCTGTCCAGCTTCATAGGAAATATTTTACAGTAGAGCTGTGAAATCAGGTAAGAAAGGAATACCCAAAACTTTTACAGTAAAACAGGTATTTCCTTTGAAGAAGTTCAAGCACTCAGCCTGAACAAAAAGAAAAAGGCAGAGCCTTAGGCCAAAAAATGTGTCCCTGGAAAATACAACTATGATGATAGCATAGCTGATGAAAATACAATAAAACTCAGTGTCTCAAAATTAAAGCCAGACCTGAGTGGTCTATGGAAAATAAACACATTTTTCATAGTGGAGGGAATTAACCAATCGAAATATTATTTCATGTTGTGTACTGGATTTTTCATCTCTAGAAATGTCATCATCAAGACAGGAAAGGGGTTTTTCAGCTGATGTGCTCAGGTTCAGATGAGAATCAGTTCAAGGTAAAGTCAGTTCAAGGAAATCCAAGAGATGACGTGAGACGGCTGAGATCAGACTCTGTGATCAGGTTTACTCCATGTTCACTTTCAGCAGGAAATCTCCATATCTCCGACTTGCACTGTGACTGTCTCTAAGCTCTAGCCTTTTATGGGGTGACAGTGATACAACCTACAACCCTTCAACAGGAGCTTGTACTTCAGGAGCAATAGAAAGTGAGGAAAAAATACCTCCTCATCCTTTCTTTTTTGGCTGTTCTCTCTCCAACCCATTACAGCTCCTTGGATCCCTCTAAATTCCCATTCTTTTGATCAGCAAATGGAGTCTTCAGTTTGGTATGCAGTTTAATGGAGCTCTGTTTGTGCAAATGCCTGGAAAGGCCTTCTATAAACTGTTCTTACCAAACATTCAAAGTAATGCCCAAACATGCAGGCAGTTTCTTGGTGTTGCTCAAGATCATTTGACGTGTCATTAAAGAGACATCTCTGTTTAATCCTCATTCTTTCCATGCTTTGAAAAGAATGACATTTCAAGAAAAGGGGAAGGTTTTCTTTCTGGAAGTGGCTGTACCCTTCAGTTTCCTGTTCAGTCTCACCCTTAATAGGTGCAATTTTGAGACTGCATAACTATGCCTGCAGCATTGTACTTCTCTGTGCTGGGTGTGTATCACACAATTATAACTACAGCAGAACCAGTGGACGTGGGAGTGCTCTTGACACTGTGCCAGTGTGAGACCACAGGTGCATTAGCTCATCTTCCATGCCCTGGATGCAGTGGAGTAGAACAGCTAGAGACTAGGAGCCTGATGCACGATCTAAGCTGCATGCTTAGAACCAAACTGCATGGCTAACACTTAGACAGTAATTTAATGTGGACAAAACTGTAAGTGGGATAATGAAAGCCATTGGTTATAAAACAAAATCAGGTTTCCCACACCTGCAGAAGGCAAAGTCAGCACTTGGTGGCTGATGTAAAGAAGCAACTGGCATTAATGCAGCAGGCTCCAGCCTGGCAAGCAGGTATCCCTGTGACCTCAAGGTGGATGCGGTTGCTGCATGAGCTGTGGTGTCACTGATGGCCTCAAAGCTGCACCAAAGGCTGCTGATGTGCAGAAACCCCCTTTTCCAGTTCCCCACCTCCATATCACCCCAGTGAATTATTCACTTGCTAGGTGCTTGAGGGATTGGGGCGGCAGGTGCTGTAAGTAGCAGGCAGTTTGCCTGGTCTAGACACTTGGGTATCTGTGCCATTGTCCAATTCAAGACCAGCCTCACCTGGACAGGAAATATGAAGACAGTTAAGATACCTAATCAAGGGTCAAGCCCTCTTTTTTTTCTGATAATGGGGAGAAGAGGAGAAATACCAGCAGAGATGAAACTTACAGATGAGCACAGTCGCTCATACCTTCAGCTTGGATCTATCTGAACAGGGCTAAGCAGCCAGCAGAAGCCACAACACAAATGCAGAAGCACTCTGTGGTTTCACTCTTGCACCAGTTTCCCAAGCCTGGGGCAGTAAAACATGCAGCAGGAGTATCTGTGCTGCACTTTGAATCTGAACCCTTTATCAAGAGGGTACTGGATTATTTCTATCACAAGACTGAAGGATACAGCAAGGTAATATGATTCTGTGTCCTATAAAAATCTACTTTTCTCAGAAAACAAGCATGTGTGTCAATGTGTCTGTCTGAATCGGGCATAGACAGCCACTGTGATTCATCATTCACAGACCCCTGCTGGCCAGGGATCCAAAAGGTTGACAAATCCCTCATGATACGGGATAAATTGTAATCAGCTGTTGTTACGAAGATTAGACACACATTTATTACAGATATATCTGTCAGGGCAGCACATGACACGCGTCACGAGCTCTTGCAGTGGCAAAGTCGTGTTCTCCCAATGCAAAATTGAGAGGACAAGGAAATAAAAACAGCAAGCTTGGGGATTGCATGGTCTGTTTCATTTCAGTTAAGGATCACCAATCAAACAGATTACAGAGTCACAAACACTTCCTACAGAGCAAAGCAAAGACAGATTTGCCTGTGCACTGAATCTCATTACAGAGCTTTATCACCAAAAATTGCTACCACTATTTGAGGAGGGCACTTTTGTGCTTTTCTCTTGGCTGCAGATCTGGATTGTCCAGAGAGAGGAACTTGACTGAAATACTGTTGAAGACAAATTACCAGTCATTTCAAGCCCTATGGGTTAAAACATTGTGAAACATGAGTATTTAACTATGAAACAGCAGGCAAACTAACTGCCTGTGAGCTGGGCCATAAATATGATGTCTCAAGGAAAGCAAGCTCTCCACAAATGGTTTGAACTAACTTTTAGCGTGTCAAGAGAGAAAAAAAAACAAACATACAAAAAGTATTTAGGAAATAAACCTCTTCCCTGTCTCAGTGTCCCTCATAGTGAGTACTAATCTTTAACACCCACAAGGCACAATGTTCAGCTTGTAGAGGATTACAGTGGCTTTCTGTGGTATAACTCAGCGACAACTCCTTTCTCACTGTGATATCTGAGAATGAATAAAAACCAAACCACTAACACACAAGGGACATTTTTGAATCCTGCCCTCAGGTGAAAGTAGGTTGTGACTCATCACTCAGGTAGCCAGTTTAGGTGGAAGCCAAGAACATCTGAGGTGTGAACCAGTGATCAGAAACCAAGGTCATAAAAATACCACAAACACTTTTGTCATTGAAATGAAACCAAGAGTCTCCAAAACCTTTCAGAAAAAACTACCTGCAAGGCTGCTTCCCAAAAGGGTCACTGGACACTTGATTTAGCTAGTGTCAGGCTACAGAATACAGCCCAGATGGATCAGCCTCTCTGCCCCTAAAGAGCTCCTTCCTCTTTCCTCCAAGCTCCTCCAAGAGGCGTTGTGTGGGCACAGTGGAGGACAAAGCTGAAACTCTTCCAAGACTGCCTAAGAGAAGAAGTTCTCAGTCAAAAAAAAAACATTGACAAATGTCAAGCTGTGTGGAGCGCAGGCAAGGGGGAGCTAATGCTTTCTGATTTTTTCTGCATGCAATTTGCATGAATTGATGTTACTAGGAGTTGCTTCCATATAGCGTGATGTGGTCTTATGGTTAGAAATGTATGGTTTTAGAAAGCAAATGGTGTTGAGGTCTTTTTCATCAAGTGGTTACTTTAGAAGTACAAAAATCTTACACAGCTCAAAAAAAAAAAAAATCTGTAAAAGTAATAAAGTTTAGAGAACAAGAGGCAGATTTTTTCCCTTGCAAACTTCACTTTACTTTCACAGACCCACGCAGAAGTGAGAAGTGTTCCTACATTTAATGCTTAGTAAATTGTGTTGACATATGAGTTAGAGGTAAAATGTGGCATGCAGTTTAACTGCAGAAGTTAGCTGTATATATAATACCAAACTGTTATGGGGCAGAGTTGAATTTCTGGTCAGGGCATCCTATTTTGCTTTTGTTTAATTTCTGCTTTGCTTTTCCGATGATGCCCATTAAACTATAGAGTCTGATAACTGAAGCAAGGTTTTTGACTGCTAAGTGATTCCAGCAGCTTGCTATAAAACTATTCAGTAAAAATCTTGACTTTCCCAGTTGAATTGTCTTGGTGCCAAAGCAATCCAGAAAGCAGTTCAAGGACAGATTTTTAAGCGCATCATCTCTGGCTTGCCAGTAGGAACTTATGACTGGAGGTCCACAGATTGCTTAGTACATGTTCTCTTGCTACCATTGCAAATAATATCATTTGGGAATAATAATAAACTTTACTTAGAAACTATTCAGGGTTGGAAGGAAGTTGTCCCACTACTCATTCTGAAAACTGTCTTTGGACCTTACTGTTTTGATAGAGCAGAAGTAGACTGTTTCCTGCCCAAATGCAATAAAGGCAAGTTTGGATGCATTCGTTCCTGTGCCCACGCTAGCTTCCCTTCAGTCGCTTACTCCCTGCAGGGCTGAAGAGAATATGTGCTGCCATCTGCACTACATTCTTCTTTCTTAGACATATGTACACCCAAATTAGTCTTTTTTTTTTTTGACCTCTCGGTTTATGAGTATGCAGCAGTAGGATAGAGGAGTGAATCAGAAGCACATTCCTTTAATTTTTAGGGTCTCTTTGGTACTCATTCAACAAATATACCATGGAGATGAGCTTCTGGGGATATAATGGCTGTAGGGAAGTGGCTAACACAGAGTAGCAACTTTTTGCAGAGGTCAGGAAAAATGTGTTGTTTCATAAGGGGGCTCCAAGTAATGCCAAGTATTCATGCTGCAGTGAGAGCACTGCAAGCCATACCATCCTCAGTGCAGATCATGAAGACATGCACTAGCAGCAACTTGTCTTTCACATAAACTTTCAGGAACTCTCTGTGTTTCAGCTTTTCAGATGGATGAGCAAAACTCACTGTCTAGCCATGTATAGATATTCTGATGCAATCGTATTCTTATGTTGGCTTTGGAAAATTGACTTAAATTCTCCATATACTGCCCATCAGCTGAAGATTTAAGCCATGTACTGGTCAGAAGGTACAATATTATGACAAAGCCCTTAAGCATTGCCAGGCCCTGTAATACAATCATTTAGGTTGGTAAACTATAGGGATACTTCCTGGTATTGTTGCTAGCACTATCCCTAAATAACTCTGGGGCATGATTTGGTATGTAGAACATTTCAGGGATCATTCCCAAAAGGTGCCTTGCACAAAGTCACCTTGTTTTAGATGGTGAGCCAGGTTACCACTTCAGACATGGACTGGTCTGTGTTTTCTGGCATCAGTGCTTGACAGTATTCCTGGTCATGTTTAATTTGCCAGTATGGATTTAGTCTTTGTTTTTCCTTTGTTAAAATAGGCTTAGAAGTGAGTTCAGTTCTTCCATCCGCATGGCGCTAGTGTCAAACACAGAGTAGTCTGCTGTCTTGCAGGGAGAAGAGCAGCTGGGATGAACACTTATGGCAACTGAGTTTGCACAGTTAATTCCCCCTGTAAAGCCAAAGTTTCACTCAACTCATTACCAAAAAAAAAAGAAAAATAAATAATTTTCATGTTAGCTAAAAAAAAAAAAAGTAATTTGGCGCTGAAATCCAACCAGCCTACAAGGACCTACAGTAAACAGGATAACTTCTTCCTGTCTTTTGGGGGTTTTCTTGTAATTGAAATCAGACTTTTTTTCATTTAGCCATTGCAGAAAGGTGTAGGAGTGACTAAACAGAACGACTGAATCTTTATCAACATTAATAAGCCTGCCTAATAGCCTTGATAACAAAAGAAGATATATAGTGTGTGTGTATGTATATATATGCACACGTTCTATATTTATGCCTGACTATATTTGTACTTTATTTTTATTGGAAATAAAACATTATCAGCTTTTTTAAATTACATTAGGATGCCAAATCAAGATTTTTAGACCATGCTTCTCTTTCATAAACCAAAGTCAGTAGAAATAGCACATGTGATGCAAATATAGACTTACACAAAGATTTCTAGAAACAACTTTATTTATGAACTTCAGTGAGTTCTCTGGGTTAGCAAAAGAAGTCTGAGAGGACTTTTTGCAGAGGACTGTTATATTTCTGAAGCGACAGCACAAAGCTTCCAAAGGATGCCAGTCCCATAAACCACCATGTTTGGACAAAGCCAGTATTCACACACCTGAGAGGGCCCTTTGAAATTCAGGATGTACCTGAAGAACATCATCTATGAGGACTAAAAACACACACAAAAATGTATATGAAATAGACCAGCCTGAAGTAATCTGGGAGAAGAAATATGATGAGGTTTTGGTGAAAGAGATGTATACTCACCTGTGAATGTCTCCTATCCAAAGCTGCATTAGGTGAGGTTCAGACTTGACATACAGGAAGCATTTCTTTACTAAGAGGGTGGTAAAACACTGGAACGGGTATCCTAGAGAGGTGACCAATGCCCCACGCCCTTAATAACATGCTTTAACATTTAGTCAGCCCTGAATTGGTCAGGCAGCTGGACTAGATGGTCATTGTAGGTCCCTTCCACTGAGATTAGTCTAATATAGTCTAGTCTAGTCTAGTAGGATCTAAAAAGTCATGCAGGAAATACAACATGAACACCTCTACAACAGTATGTAGGTTTACATCTAACGTAAAGTTATCCCATACTGTGTGGGATTTCAGCCTTCGGAATGATGTTTTCTTCCAAATTACTAGCAAAACCTCAAGATCTTATCTTTTTTCCCAAAAAATTGTTCATTCTGCAACAATTAGATGATTTTACTTCTATCCTTCAAAAAACGACATGGAGGAAACAATGGAGCTGGGCAGGCTCCTTTGGAAAGTGGTCGCAAAGGAAGGCACCCTGGCTGCCATGCCATGGGGGAGCAGAGGGCAGCTTTGTGCAGCCCTGACTTGAGTGGAATTTGGGCTGGTGAGGGGCCCATGTGTGTTCTCCATGCGAACCCGGGGCTGGCATGAGAAACATAGCCCATGTCCCTGCCATGGAATTTGAAACCTTGTTGCTCCTGTGTCCTGCAGCACGGCTGCTGATAAACGATGTTCAGGACTTAATATTGCCAATAACCATTTATTGTCTGCTAAG